GGATTAGAAGTATAAACTGATAGGAGGCGGGCTAGCCCTTCTTAGCAGGGCCGACCCGAGCAACCTCTGCACCAGCCTTTTATTGAGACAGAACAGCACAGGGGAGGGGACTAATTAACAAATGACTGCGTGGAAGGCTGGGCTCTTTCTCCACAAGGAGCACATGTGGACAAATGGCCCGAGGGTCCACCCTTCAGCTGCAGATCATCTTGCTCAGAGGTGTCTGACTCTTGGTGTCCCTTACAGCCCTCTATTTCAGCAGAAGCCAGAAATAAAGATGGGGTTATCCAGGAAGGATCTGTGGGGAGCACAAGTCAGCCTGGAGGGAAAGGGCCAGAGACAGAGCAAAGTGAAGCAAGAACGACAGGCTCCCAGGGCAGGGCCAGGCTCGCAGAGGCCAGATGGAGCCAGACTGCGTCTTGAAAAGGTTCCCTGCTATTTGCACATATTGTCTCAGCCTCTTGAGGGGCTGAGGCAGGATTGATGGAGCCCAGGAATTGGAGATTATAGCAAGCTATGAGGCCACTGCACTCCAGCCTGGGGGACAGATCCTATCTCTAAAACACAAACAATACGAAAAGAATGTTTGAAAGGTTTAGGAGAAGTAGATATTTATGAAGCAAAACACAGGAGGTGGGAGAGGATGAGATTCCGAGAAGAGTGAGTCGGCCTGGAGGAAGAAGTCAGGTATCTGTTCCTCTGTCACGCGTAGGCAGATGAAGACGTACATTATTAGAGGTTAAGTGCAGAGTTAGAAGAAAGGCAAGTTATAAAAGTTCAGGCGTGGAGGTCTTATTTTCTCTGCTTAGTTTTTCAAAGCAAGATCATCTGCTGAGAATGAAGGAGGTAAGGTAGGATAGGGGAGAAGAAAATTTAATCACGTATTTAGCAGCACAGATAAGGACCACGTAAAGCATCCTCCTGCTCCACTCTTCCACTTTCTTAAGGGCACAATTGTGGTCTCTTAAAAAGGAGTGTCAACCTTTCTTTTCTTTTTTTTTAAGACAGTGTCTTACCATGTCGCTCTCGGTAGAGTGCTGTGGCGTCACAGCTGACAGCAACCTCCAACTCTTGGGCTCAAGTGATTCTTTTGCCTCAGCCTCCCAAGTAGCTGGGGATACAGGCACCCGCCAAATGCCTGGCTGTTTTTTGTTGCAGTTGTCATTGTTGGTTAGCTGGCCCAGGCTGGGTTCGAACCCACCACCTTTGGTGTATGTGGCTGGTGCCATAACTGTAACCACTGTGCTACAGGTACCGAGCCATTTTTTTTTCAAATGAGATACACTCTCATCCTGTGGCCCAGGCTAGAGTGCCACAGCATTAGCCCAGCTCACAGCAACCTCAAACTCCTGGGCTGAAGAGATCCTCTTGCCTCAGCCCCTGGAATAGCTGGGACTACAGGTGTGCACCACAATGCCTGGCTAATTTTTCTATTTTTAATAGAGATAGGGGGTCTCCCTCTTGCTCAGGCTGATCTTGAACTTCTAAATTCAAGTGATCTTTCTGCTTCAGCCTCCCAGAGTGCTAGGATTACATACATGAGCCACTGCCCCACTGAGTGCAAAGTTGGTTATCTCCTTGGATTTATGCCTTCCTGGTTTCTATTGCTCACTTTTTTTTTTTTTTGAGACAGAGCCTCAAGCTGTCACCCTGTGTAGAGTGCTGTGGCATCACAGCTCACAGCAAACCTCCAACTCCTGGGCTCAAGCTTTTCTCTTGCCTCCACTTCCCAAGTAGCTGGGACTACAGGCGCCCACCACAACGCCCAGCTATTTTTTTTGGTTGCAGCCGTCCTTGTTTCTGGTGGGCTGGGCTGGATTCGAACTCACCAGCTCAGGTGTATGTATGTGGCTGGCGCCTGAGCTGCTTGAGCCACAGGTGCCAAGCCTTTATTGCTCACTTTCAACCACCAACCACTGCTGAAGAAAAATGTAATTAATATTAGCCACTTCAGTAATCATAGTACATATAAATAAATACATTTCCTTATTAAAATGAAAATAGTAAAAGCCGTTAACATCCACAGAAGTCTTCTGTCATTCCTGAGATAAACAAGCAGCAGGAGGGATCTAGGTTTGACTCCTGACACTAGGCCATGGCCAATCCACAGGGTGTGCTGATACTCGCTTTACTCACTCTAGGATCTCACCATTAAAGAATTTTAACGTTTGCTATGTAAACCCTTGAAATTTACACAGAATGATATGTTCACCAAAATCTGGAACTCCTCCATCATCACTTCCGCTCACATTGTACACTAGTCAAAACAGTACAATGACACAAAACGCCCATTATTTGATTGTATAGCCTAGAATGGGGAATTGGAAACAAAGCCTGCCCATGTGAAACTTTAACTCGGTCCTTATGCACAGACTTGCGCTCATTCAGTCCTACTTTGAACTAGATTGGTTTCTTTTTATGTTGTTTTGGTAGGGCTCAACTGAACTTGATACTTTGGAGACCTTCTTTAAGAATAATAAGGTCTTGGCTCGGCGCCTATAGCTCAACCGGCTAAGGTGCCAGCCACGTACACCTAAGGTGGCGGGTTCAAATCCCCAGCCTGGACCCGCCAAACAACGATGGCTGCAACCAAAAAAAAAATAGCCGGGCGCTGTGGCGGGCACCTGTGGTCCCAGCTACTTGGGAGGCAGAGGCAGGAG